AAGAGAAGGAAATGAGAGGATGGGCCAGTCCTGCGGCGTCCAGCCCCTGCCTGGCAAGCTCCGTTGGAGGGTTCAAAAGAGCGAAGTAGGAAACAACTGCTGTAAAACCACCTATGGACTGGAAAAGGGTGACTGCTAAAATATAAACCCTCAGCTAGAAGTAGGACTTGATTTTCCTGGATTTCAGAGAGAACACAGATCCAGATTCTACGCTCCCAAATGCATGACTGTGGGGAATGAAAGACAGGACAGGACTGACTGCTAAATTTGACCCAAACAAACAAGCAATAACTGCAGCAAAAAATCCTTCAGTAAGCACTGGAACTTGCTCATCCCCATTACTAACTCTGCCAGTGCAGGTACGGGAGTGCCCAGCACACGGCAACCTCAACCATCCATTTTGGCATGATAAAGACTCCTAAAGGACGGATAAAAAGAGTGGCAATGACAGTTTGGGGACCAAACCCAGAGCTCTGTCATGACAGACTCGCAAGCCAGAGGGATGCAGATTGCCTGGTCGGGGCAGCAGCGGCTCCCACCTCCCTGGCCTGGCGCAGGCACAGGGGCCATTTGTTCCTCGGCTAAACCCAGGCAGCGCTGCAGCCCAGCCTAAACCAAACCAACAGAGCCACCGAGCACTAAATTCAGTCATTTCCCCCTCAGCCTCTTCTCTCAATTTCAGCTCTGACTCCTCTATCTTTTATTTCTTTTTCTAAAGACACATTTAGAGATGAAACCATTCATAACTGCCTATCCACAGACAGTTTGTGGCAGCATAATTGACAATGAGTCTGCTGCAAAAATGAAAATGCTGTTTTAATAACCTTGGCCTAAAATACATTCTGTTGTATGCCTCAAAGGGTTTCAATAAAAAGTCAACCTGTAGAGACATATTTTCTTGGCTTAAACAACAATCCAAAGCATATAAATGTAGTCCAACTATAATGACATATTTATAGGCCAATAAAGCTTACACTGCAGCTTTCATACTTCACTTAAAGGAAGTCTGTAAGAAGCAGTGTTATATAAAATAATTTGAATTTTTTTCAAACTATAGCCCAAGGAATACAAATATGCAACTTTGCCATATTTAACCAATAGTGTTTACATTGCTTAGTTGCTAAAAATTTTGCAAAATGAAATAATTCCTCATTTGGTGACTTCCCACTGGTTTACCAAATATGGGTATACAAGTCCATTTATTACAAAGAAAAATCCCCTAAATAATTCTAAAGACAAAAATAAATAACTAGCGGCCTTAGTAGTGAATGATTTAATCAGACCAATTCTTCTGGAAAAACAGGTTCTCATGTTCATTATGAATAATGCATTCCTGAGCAACTCTATTTTTATATGCTGCATTGTTGTTATTCTTTATTTTTCTCAACATTTGAAAGAAATATTCAGAAAGCTATAAATAGTCTTACGACATAAACTGCTAGCATTCAGTATTGACATATTTGTAGAAAGGGACAGAATGTATAACATAAATACCTCAACAGGCAGAAAGAAATAATTCTTAAAAATCATTTTTGCAGGCTGAAATCTTGAAGCTCACACAAAAAAATGCCATTGCTAGATCTCTTATTTAATACAGTCCTAAGGAAAAGTTCTGCATAATTCACTAGTGATAAAAACAATGGCATTTTACACAAAAAGAACAGTTTCTGCAGAAAAGAAAGGCAAAGAGAAAAGAAAAAGAAAAAATAAGAAAGAAGAAAAAAGAGACGAGGGAAAAAAGAGAAGAAAAGAGAAAAAAAGGGAAGAGAAAAAAGAGAGAACAAAAAAGGAGACAGAACTACTGAATTTGAATTAGGGTCAACTTTCAATTATAGGTGCATGGTTTCTCTGGGTTGTGGATTAACCAGGTGTTGCCTTAGTTTTGGCTAAGCAAGTGCCACAGAGCTATGGTACAGGCTATACGCTGCTCACACAAGGCCCCACTTTGCCTGGTTATTGTTTAAAGCTGCCCTGCTCCCAGCAGCAACATGTTTAATTAAGTATGTTTGCACAGTGCCACTTCTGTGGTTCTGTATCAGTCATGTTTTCATTTCATCCGGGTTATTTTATCCTTCACCACTCCTGGGTAGTGTGTGAAAACTGATTTTGTTTCTTCTGTAAAGTTTTTTTGAGCTCTTTGGTAGGGATATAATTTCCTATTACCTTCTACAGCTCGCTTCAAAAACATCTAGTAGGAAAAATTTCAGAATCTACTCACTTTTATGGGATTTTTCTGTAATGGAAACATGCCATTTCATAGGAAAAAGGGGGTCCAGGAGATCAGCTGGTTTATCTAGGCCTTTTCAACACCTGGTTCAGCAACTTCCTCATCTACAGCCAGGGTTAAACGTGGGCATCGCTACAGACTTATGCATGGCCTGCCAGGCTAGCACAAGAAGGGATTTGTTCCCTTCAAGTGCAAGTTCTGTACAAAGCGGTCTGCCCCATCACAGCCACCCCACTCTGCTCCGTGGGGAAGCCCTCCATGAAACATCCTCATGGGCACAGCACTGAGTATCTGATTAGGAGGGGAACCATGCTGTGGTGGTGGGAAACGGCGGAGATCACCTCTCCATTTGGGCTGATTAGCCTTGCTAATATAGCTGTGCTGATGCTCTCACCTGAGGACCTTTGCATGACAGTGCACCGTGCTCCCTTACCGTTTACAACCCTATTTTAAGAGAAAAACTACCCCATCCCATTGTGCTGGAGACTTACTGCAGAAGTTATTGCTAGTAAATCTTTGATCACTGTGGCTGAGCATTGCTCTGTTGGCAAGATGCTGAGTATTGGAAAAGGTCTGTGGGCACACGTCGTAACAGGCACTAAACCTGCCATTTTGACAGCAGAGAAGATACAACACCGGCAGCTCAAATCTCTATGCCTTGGACACTGCATGTTACGCTACTGCCTTTGCCTACAGCTAGGGAGACAACAATTCCCAGAGCGCAATGTCAACCTTGACCAACCACTCAGAATGAGAGAACACCTGGTGGGTGTTAAGCCTCCATCCCATAGTTAAGCCAAACACCAGAGCTCATGGGTTGCCTACAGCACACAACCAAATATGGCTGCTTCACAAGCAATGAAGATCACTGTGTTTCTAAGTTTTTCTCAGATCCGGGAAGCAAAATATGCTTAAATTCTTGGGTCTTTCAGATAGTAAAAAAATCACCTTAGTACTAGATTTAAGAAATTTCTTTGATTGCCTTTCATAGGCTAGATCAGTTGTCTGTATCAACATGCCTAATCAGCTATAGGTCTTCTTGAACCTTTGGTTTCACTCCCACCAACCAGTCATGATGAAGAAAAAGGCAATCAGAATCAAACATTAGTCAAAATACCCTTTTCTACTGAAAAAAAAGACCCAACAATAAAGCCAAAGCCACGAACTGAAAATAAGCAACATCAGAATGTGGGTTATCAAAATTATACCATATAGTTTGCATTCCATAAGCATTTTCAGTATAACCCCTACTTTCAAAGGCTTAACGTGCAACTATAAGCTTTAGGCTTAAAGATAATTTTCTTTGGCTCCTAGGGTAGATAATAGCAATTTCATAACTTACCACAAGGGTTTTTTTGTTTTTTAAAAACAAAACCAAGAAAACATTAACACACAAAAGTTCTGTCCGAAAAACATTAAGATTCTTCTGATACAACAAACAAATGCAAATAAATGTAGTGCGTAAAGAAGATGCCAGGGCAATAGCAGAGAAAATTACTGCATGTAATTATGAACCAGAAGAAACCACACAGAAAAGCAAACGAAAAGAGAAAGAATTGCACAGGTTATTTTTCTTCCTGGAGATGTAATGAAAAATAAGATCAACTTCCAATTGTACTTTAATCTTCCAACCTACATATCTAATGGTGAAATGCAAGACTGACAAAATCACTTCACCATTTGGTAAGACCAGAAAAATGAGATGCAGAACATAAATCCTCCAAGACAGATCTTCAGCTTAGTGTAATTTGGCTTCGATGCCAACACAGTCATGCCATTATAAAACTGAACTTGGCCCTGCCTCTCCTGTTCACGTAGGTACAAAAGCATTTCCTCACATGCATCAGCCTTAGCTTTTAATTTCTTACCTTTCCACGCATTATGGCCTAAATTTGATGCTCTTCAAACTTGGAACATTTGTTAAAAGCTTGGTACAACAGAGAAATGTCCCTGGGATGCACTTCAAAATGCCGTCTCTGACAACTATTACGCATCCAAGGTCCTAATACCACAAACAGGCACGTTTACCAACAGGAGACTCATCTCCCTCGGACCTTGGGCCCCCACCACGGATTTTAGAGGTGTGAGTGTCTGAGCACCAAAGCAGTCCCACGGCTGCAAGCCCGTCTGCAACCATCCAAAGTAGCAGAGCTACCGTTTCCCTCCCTAAAAACGGACAGGTCTATCTGGAGGCAACAGCAGGGTGCTTGCGGGGGGCCTACGCTGTATAGTAACATAAAGCTCACAAGGAAACGCTGTAGAAGGCTACGGAAGGGACATCTCCCTACCAAACGAGACACAAAGCTGACCGTACGGAGACAGAACAAGCACCAGAAGCAGGTGACAATCCTGTGCTTCTGGAAGATGGGATGTGAGAAGTGAAAGGCCTTTGCTCTCCCCCACCTGTTGGAGGAGGCCTTGGGAAGATGTGTCAGGCTCCTCTCCCCACGATGCACAGCTCTGACCTGATCCCCCGGTCTGCAGAGCCCCAGGGAGAGCCCTTGACAATTACTTGTGCGCGCATCTGCAGGGTTTGAGCCTTAGTGCTCAGGGACACGTCTACGGAGCAGACAGGTATCATAGAGTTACCCCACGCTAATCTCGAAGGAGCCTGCGATGAGCTCACCCCACCACCACCTCATCACCACACCTCCGCCCGAAGCACAGACATACCTTGGGAATCGGTGATGGCTTGGCAGGATCAGGCTCATCTGCCTTTGAAAGACGCTCACCCACGGGCCCCTCCCCAGAGGAGAAAGTAAGGGATACTCACCAAGGTCAGCCTTTTCCTTCAGGATGTCTTTGAAGTTCAAGCCGCTGTTGAGCGTGGATTGTCTGTATCTCGTCAAGGCCTCCTTCTGCCCATTCTTCCCCACATCCATCGGCTTGACCGGCTCAGCCCGGAAACCACACTTCCACTTGGAGAAATCGGACTGTGCCCATTTTGCCAAGTCCTCAAGCTTCACAGTAACTTTCTCTGAAACAGCAATAACTTCATCCTGCAAGAAGCGGTCAAATGAGAATACGACACGTCATGCGGGGCTCCATGGTGACTGATAAACCTGTAACGCCACCCCCCCACAGGCTATTGGAAAAGCCTATCTTGCTGCTGGCAGATTAATTTTTCTGTAATACAGAATAGCTAGTATTTAATTTATTCCTCCTGACACCTAAGTGGAAGTATTAGTTGTTTACTCGAAGCAAATACACATGATCTAAAGACAATTTCTAGGACCAAGGCAATGATCCTAAAAGGCATTTGAAATGCAGGTTGCCAAATCACATTCTGTATAACCCAAAGCCTTGAGGGAAAGTTTGTTTTTTAGGTGCAATTAGCTGCAAATGTAAAAATTCATGGCTGGATGACTAATGGTTATAGCTAGTCCTGAAATAAATGGACTAAGTAAATCGCAGATTCTTGGAACTCTGACTCACCAGAAAATTCCTGTGTTTATGGTACATTTTCCCTTGGCTTATACACAAATATTGAATTTAACTTTTGTCCTAAAAATTAAATAAAACTGTGATGTAATCCCAAAAGAAATACTACATAAATGTTATGTGCTTCCCACGAAAAGAAACTTGCACATTCTCATGTTTCTTAAAACCTTTTTCAAGATCAGAACTGTAATTTTTTTTTTCCCTTCTTAAACATACATTCTAAGAAAAGCACTTAAACTTAGTTTAGCCTCCAGAACATATACTCGAATTAAACAGCTCTAATTGCTGAATTTTATCCTTCCAGGAAACAATCAACTCCTCTCAGTCATGATGAATAAGCAGAATGTTTTATAGCTGACTCCACTGAGCAAATGCTCAAGAAAGACTCAAAAAAATAAACAAACATACACACATATCCAGCAAGATACACTCTAGATTTTTTAGTTAAAACAGCAGAAATAATTTATGTTGTAATGAGAGCTGGTTGCACACCACACCTTGCACACTGCACATTTCTAGTGCTAAATAAGGTTACAGGTTCTTGAAATAAATAAACCAGAATCCAATTTTTCTCTCAAATAAACACAAGTATTTGCAAAGGGGAGAGAAATTCTTTGAGTTATTAAACAAAGAGAAAAGCACGATTGATTCTCTCTGTGTGGGTTTTTTTTTTCCACTGAACACATTCCTCAGGAAATAAAATACTGCTCAATAGGAAAAAAAAAGCTTTATTGTGATAAGTTACACACAATACAAAACCTGAAGTATCTCTAGTAAAAAAGCAGATCTGATATTCCACTCCCCCTTATATAATACAAAATCGTTTTATAAGCAGGCACCTTCATTACATTTAGTGCAATAACAAATATTTGGTCAGAAACGAAGGGCATGCTTATAAGCTAAGCAAGCTTGTAATAAAATCTTTTCCTTTAACATTGCACAGCATAAGAGCTTCCACCGAACAACAAACAATACCAGTGATGTTTTAAATCTCCGTTTATGACAAACATCAATACTTTGTAAACAAGCGTCAGGTACTACAAAGTACAATTTCAATGGATGGTTTCACCCAATTTCATTACACCATCCACTTGAAATAAAAAAGCTGTAGTTGCTATGCATTTTATAGCTATATATATATTTAAAAAGATCAGCCTGCCTGCAGACAGTCTCAGCAATTTCTGGATGAAGTCCTCTTTTAGGATGTTGAATACCATCACCAGCTACTACACAATTTCTAATATTCAACATTAGAGAAATCTATTTAGCAGCAGTTTTAAAAAAAAACTGACTTGGAGATCAGACGTGTTTTTGGTTAAAATATTATTTTCCAAATAGCTCTCATGATCAAATGATTATGATTTCAATTACTAGTTTCTTCATATCCTTTCCAAGAACTGGTATGACTAATTTTGGCTGGCATACAAAGTAAGCTGAGCAGACAATTTATTAACCAAAAGAAAAGTACAATCACTATTACATCATCAATGAATAAACTTGTTTTCGAGAATACAACCTTCGCACACACGCACATGATGTGTACACAGGAAAAAAAAAAAGGGAAGGAAAAAAAAAAACCCAAAAAACCCCTACTGTAACAAGGGTGAAGCGATGCCAGTGCACTCACTGGCTCTGCCCAGGCTGCCATGGAGCGGGAACCGGAGAGGCAGGAGCAGGGGGAGAGGTGGCTTTTGGGAGGCAGGGGAGAGCACACCCCAGCCATATGCTTTCTGTGGCAGCGGCACAGCCGTGGCCATGAAAACACATGGTGTTTAGCATCCCCACACTGATGTGAGGGGCCAGGAAAACACCCTGCAAAAAGACCATCGTGTGCTCACCTCAGCCCTTCACAAAATGGCACTGGGACTCTAAATACAGCCGCCATGGTGCAAAGGGGCACCCAGAATGGCACCACAGAGCAGCTGAGCACACAAGTGGAGTGCATGAATATAAAATATAAAAGAAATTCAGGCTGTCACTGTGCCATGACTGAGGTTGTGGGTCAAACCCCCCATGCAGGTGGTGCTAGGCGATGGCCCCTTGTCGGGGCTGCCCTGTCACCCCTGCAGCAGCTGTGTCCCCAAGGGCACCTGGTCCCCGTCACCCCTGTGGCAGCCACATCCCTAAGGGCGCCAGGCTGGCCCCCAAATCGGCTGGGATAGCCTGAGGAGGGCAGCTGACCGCAGGCCTCGTGCTGACGGCTGCTAGGCTGGGCCTTGTGCTATCGCCGAGCAATGGCAACACCCGCCTCATGGCTGTCGGGCCAAGAGGACCCATCTTGCACCTGATGTAACTGCAGCTCCACTGCCATCAACCCCCCTGGAAGCCAGAGCTAATGTTCCTAACATTAAAGACACTGCTGTGAGGTTTTGGGGTTGCCCCGAAGGAAGCGGGGCCGAGGCCGGGCCTGGCCTGCAGAGGTGACAGCCGCAGGACGAGCCCCTCGTGACAGAGGCCGGGTGGCGCTGCCTCTCCAGTGCCCGGGAGCGCCTAGCCATCCTCCACACCAGCACTGGCCTCGTGTCCTCCCTTTGTACCGCTAGTGATCACCACGGCTGCACCAGGGAAACACGGCCAACTTCACTTTTAGCCAGAAAATGGAAAAATCACCCTATATATTTCAGGGCCTGCCTTGGGTTGCCCTGCCCTACACACAGTGGGACTGGGTAGACCTGCTCTCTCTCGCCGCTCATTTTTTGAGCTCTTGCTCATTTTCGGCCCAATTCAGAGACAACCGGCCATGTTGTCTCCAACTCCCCACACACCACAGCGGTCATGGGTCGGACCGCAGTCCTCCTTCGAGTGCCGCTGCCAGTGCCGATCCTGCCAGCTAGGGACTGCATCTCCAGAGACACTTTCACCCCAGCGCCTCATCATACGAACATTGCCAGGCAGCAAAACATGGCAGGTAGCTTCAGCCCCTTCTTTCTGATGAGCCCGAGTCACCGGCAGCTTCCAGAGAGGCTGTCTTCCCCACATCTTGGCAGTTTGCTAACACAAGAGGTCATCTGCCCCAACGCCACCCAAACAGAGGTCACCCAACTATTTCATCAGCTCTGGGATTTCGATGTGCCTTGCCAAGCTTTCACACATCCTTAAGCAACCTTTCCAAGTGCTCAGACCCAAACTATGAGTCGTGAGCGGGTTTATTATTTTTTTGGAGCAGCAGGTGACAAAGGGTCCCTCTCCTGTTTTTGTTAAGCAAAAATGTCTCACAGCCCTGTGTCACAACAAAAGTTGCTTCAGGACCTGCAGGGCTCTGCCAGCCAGAGGAGCCCCCGTAGCCATTCGGTATCAACTGCTGCGCACCTACTGCCGCAGCCCTTCTAGAGAAACCCTTTCAACGAGATGACAAAGGAATACAGATGTTGAATAAATAAAAACCAGGTACACGGTGACACATGACTAACAAACCTTTAGAAGATTAAAGAAATCTGCTGTATAACCTTCATGTCATTCATAATTATATCTCTGTGTAAACATGAAAAACCACCCACGTCGCATACAGTGCATACATATATCTATACAAAAATCAACTCATCGTGTATTAGCTATGCTCTGAAGTGATATGTTTATGAGGTCTCCATTGCGTGGTTAAGTCTTTAATTGCAGTTTTTTCCTGCTACAGCAAGATGAGCTTTGCAGGAGGAACAGCCAGTGCTGATTTCAGCTCTGCTCAGGAATGAGATTTATCTCAGATGTGCCTTTTCGGACGCTGACCGACCAACGGCAACACTTTTCCCAGCCACAAAGTTGTCTAAATCTCAAAATAAGTATTGACTATATAAAGAGGCACTTTTTCTTCTGTTTCTATAAAAGCAGGCATCTAGTCAGCCTATAATTTTAGCACATCTTACAATACTCCTGAGCAAAGTACGCTACTTTCACCTATCAAGTGGGAAATGGGGAGATGGTTAAGAAAGATGATGATACAAACCCTTCTCATCCCTCTCCTGTTTTTTAAAAGCTTATCGGATTTGCATTTTCAGAGAAATCGTCCAGGGAGAAGGGGACAGTATCTTCTCGAGAGCCGTTACGCTTAAATATTATGTCACTGTTGTCTAAGCAACCATCACAGCCTCCTGAAAGCACAAAATGCTATATTGCCTGACTCAGCAGATGGTTGAAATACTTACATTCAGGGAAGGAGGTCAGGTAGTTAGAATAGTTTAAAGCAGATAATTATTTTTTAGAAGAAATATTAACTCTTACAAGGCAGGGAGTCACAGGGTAGCACAGGGAGGTCGTACATCTTGATTGCACACCCGCATACGGTACGTCACAACTCCTCACTCATTGCCAATAACTAGGAAAGATTTATATTTTGGAGACGCTGAGGCAGCCTTAAAAGAATTACAGTGACTGAGATATCTCAAAATTTTGACGTCCTGAGACTGTTTTCACTCCAGTGCTTCCAGAGGTCATTTAAGGAATTCTGGAGGGCACGAGCGAGTCGAACACCTGCTTGGCTGTCGCCTAACATCAAATACGTGGCCTAGAGAGAAACAGGAGACGTACTGCAAAAACTCTTACCAATAACTACAGAAGACACTGTGTGTCATTTATCTGATCAGTATGATTTGCATTAGAAAACATCTTCAAGCCTTTTTACTGAAACCTTTAGCACGGTAGATAGCTGGGGATGCATATTTTACAACCCAGTACATTGCTGATGAAAACACATTCATCCACGGGAGCAAAAAATACAGTGCAACTCTTACGGACTGCATTCACTGAGGATAATAGAACTGCATATTTCATTTGGGCATAAAGGTCTCTATTATTCTGGGCTTTTTTTACATCCCATATATTTTTTAGTTTTTTGTGATTTAGGTGAAAAGGACCTTCCTGTACCTTGCACAACGATGCTGTTCTCACCCCGGGAATCCAGTTCCCTGCTCTAGATCCCTTTGAGGAGAGGAAGGTCGCACTGTGGAGGTGGAGGAAGGAAGGAGGGGGTTTATTTCCAATAAGGCCCCTCCTTCCTTCCCAATAAACCCCTCTCCCGTAGCAGTGCATTTACCTGTGTGTTTGAGGAAAGTACATTCACCCTTACTTGACAGCATAGTCAAGCCAAAAGGCCCTGTCAGCAGAGAGTCTATAGTACAGAGCTCTTCTCTGCCATACAGATGCTACCAGGGCTCTGGACAGTGGTGGAAACCAGGTCATCTCAATTCAGTCCTAATCCACTTGCCAAAATCACTCAGGAACCTGAACCCAGGTCCCCGGAGTCGTCTCCTACAATGCAGCACTTCACCCAAGCTTTCCTCCAGGGACCATATTCAACCCTAAAGGGACAGAGAATGTTTGTACAGGACTGCTTTGCTCTCAGAGACTTTCTCCAGAGTAAGAAGGTCCCATCTCCCTGCTGCCTGCTGTGGACTGGGGGTATACATGGGGTTTTTTAAGACTGCAGGATCACAGACTAGCTAAAAAACTGTGGCTGTGTCATAGAAAAGGTCTGGCTCTGGGAAGTGCCCTGTTCAGCCTCCCTACAAGGCACACAAAGGATTCTCCTGCCATCCACTCCCTCATTACATGCTGCTCTTCCAGTACAACCTTGCTAAGTAGGCTGCAGACCTGGGGAGCCGCAGCACAGCTCTGCCAGGCGGGAACCACTGCTCCCGTTCTGCAGGTGGGATCACCAAGTGATGGGGAAGCCTCACAAGAGGCTCCAGCGCTTGGCACGGGCAGGGGCAGCTTTCTTTTCCCCTTTCCCTGCCCCGAGTGCCTCATTTGGTGCCGTCTCCTCGTGCATCCCCTAGCCCAGGGCAGACGGATGCGTCCCGAAGGATGCGCAGAGCAGAACTGATCGCTGGGATCTGGGCCTGCAATGCTCCCCGGAGATGCCGGCGTCCAGGGACCTACAGAGACCACCGCCCTCCACCCATAAACCTACGGGGAGAGCCTTGAGAATGGAAACACGCACAGCTGAGGAATTTACCTGGCACACGGGAGAATTTTAAAGAGGCCAAGGCAGAACCTTTCATCTGGTAATCCTTCACTAATTCCTTTAAAGGGCTATAATGATCTCGTTAAATTCAGGTGACAGGTACTTCCCCAGCCTACCGTGCTATTTCCCCAGCCTAAGCACAGCCGCACATAGCTGTCCGAAATGCACGGGGACAGAGAACGCTACATCCCGACGTGTTCATCCCGTCTGCCAGGGTCCAAAACCCAAAAGAAGAGACCAAGATAAAGGACACAGGTGAAGCACGTTAAGTCCTATGGTATTCGCTTTCCCTTGTATTAGCAAGCAGCTTTTTCCATGTGGCTCGGTATTTCCAAAGCAAGACACGCAAAATGTCCTGGGGCAGGACAGCACCGCATTTTTGTAGGATGCTTTGTGGGATACTGGTACATCTGGGCCAGAAGTGGGGTGGAGATGGAGTGCACAGAGGGACGGCTGTGAGCAGCTAGACTTGACATTTCTATTGCAAGCCTCCTCCTTCATTTCTGGGGTGGTTTTTTCTCCCTCCTCCTGCTCCCGAGCAGAGGTTCAAATTGAATTTATATCTGTCATTGCAGATAGAAGTTCTGACCAAAGAGAAAATAGGCTTCAGTCAAAATGTTTTCCCATCAGATAGCTCACAGATCTCAAAGAGTTGTTTTAGTTTAGGCAAGTTGACAAGCAATTCATTCCTAATTTTGCCTACTACAGTTACAGTACGAAAAGCTTTCCTCGTAGATTACATAATTATATTTTTCTTAACAAGGAGTACATTGCATTAGCAGGTCTAAATTATGCAAGCTTATTCTTCTGTCTTTTGTTATATTGTGTTCTATTGTGCTGGTAAAACAATGTGCTTTAATTAGCAAATATCTGTAAATAATTTACTTGCTTTTCATACAGCAGAACAATGGAGCCAATTTTCACATACATCCACTGAGCATGTCTAGGGGGTTTCTTGCCAGAACCTTCCATTGTTCAGTATCTGTATCAATCTGCCCATCATTAGCAGCTAACGTTCAACAGCCCAGAAGAAATTAAAGTTTTGGCTCCCGGGAGCAGCCCCAAGCCCCCCAAACCCGAGGCTACGCTTTGCAAAGAAAGATTAAAATATCCAGAAAATGAAAACAAACTCTTTTATTATCTATAACCCTGGCACCTTCGCATAGAAACATGGACGCCTGCCAAGCATTAAGGTCATTGGATTAATGCCATAAAATGCCGATGTTCATCTGACCTTCTGACTGCATTTTAGCTACAAAATAAAAAGCTCAACTTGATATGACACTATGAATCACACGAGCGTCTAGTCTCTGCAGGGTTAACG